CCTGCCAGCTGGAACAACACGAGCAGCAGAAGTTCACTACAACAATGACATTTAGTGTCTCTGCTCATCTCGACAAGTCTAAGACATAGCCAATGGCAAGGCCTCCATGGGACTTATTTAAGGAGGCTCCATCATCTTTCCTTAAAACTTTATTTTCAAACTTATGAAATTTTAAATTATGAAAGCAAAGCTCTCTATCTTGTTCACTCACCCCTTCTCTCTCATACGCACAAATGCACGCATGTTCATACACATACACACACAATCCAAAATTGTATAAATATCTATTAGAAATTAAGTACAGCCAATCCAACTCCACATACATCTCCTGTTTAGGATTTCCTGCATATCTTTTAAGGTCTCATCTATCCACAAAATAGATTTCAGGTGCTGAGTGGTAGGAAGACAAGATAAAGTTTGAGATTTCTGCCAAGCCAAGGAGTCTTTGTTTTCTTGAATGACCTTAATGGCTTCTTGCCAGGAGTAGTTGTTTTGTTTTGTTTTGTTTTGTTTCCTTTACTGTTTTCCTCATTTCCTGATTAAGCCCCCAGGTCCTGGTGCTGAACAGGGCAGTCTTGAAATTCTCCCAACAGGAGCACATCTATATTCCACTTACTGCCAGTGCAGACAAATCCTTCTGTGCCATGATGTGGTGGTGTCCTCCTAATCCAGGCACCGGGTGTTCTGGATGTCTGGATGTCCTGTTCTTTCTTGATATAGAGGAGCAAGAAGAATGAACGTAATATTTGACAAATGTGAGTTTGACTCTCACAACCCTGTGACCCTAGAAATCCTGGAGCCTCAATTTTCTCACCAACATGAAGACAATAATACCTCATGGGACTATGCTGAGAGCAAACAAGCTAGTATAAGGTAATCAAGTGGTTGAAGCTGCCTTCTTTCTTCTAGATAAGGCCCAGCCCCGCAGTGTGAGATGCACTCGTATTTATCTGGGTATCTGTGCTGGCAGGGCACAGTGCCTTGGGAACAGTGGTCAGAGACGGGCCCTGCTGGCCTCAGACGGGAAAGTGAAGGCCCTGAAGGATGGACTTCCATGTGCCCTCTGCTGATGCTTGTCACCCACCCTTCCTTCTGTGGCTCCCCTCCTAGGCCACCAGATATTGCTGGTGATGGAGTCTGGACCCTCCATTCTGAAGGAAGTAGAGGGCCTGACTGTAAGTTGAGGGGAGGCTCAGGGAGGCGGGACAAGGTGGTGGGCAGAGCCTGGTATGGGAGCAGGCTAAGATTAGAAGAAGTCAGCCCAGTCAGCCCAAGAAGGGCACACAAGGACACATGGTACTCACGTTCATCTGGAGGCAAGAGAGGGACACACCACTCTTACTTCCCCAGGAATCTCCCGGGATTCACTAAGAAGCTCCACCTTGGGTGTGGTAATGGGGGAGGTGGGGTTTGATCAAGGCTTTGCAAAAGATGTCCTTGGGACCCAGGGAGGGGGCAGTGTCTGATCTCATGGAGCTGGATATCGACTCTTTGTCCCCCCGGGCAACATTCACCCAGGGGAGCACCCAATACTAAGAGTAGAGCCCAGCCCTGTGAGGTAGCTGCGAGGCCGCTGTTGTGGTTTAGTTAATGAGTGTCAGGCTCCCAGGGCTTCCAGGCATGGGGAGCTTCAAGAAGAGGGAGAAGTGGAAGACAGGGCACCTGTGGGATGCCAGAAAAGGTAGGGATCCCATGGCACTAATGTTCTGGGAGAGCCCAACCAGAGGCCGACACCCAGGGTCATTGCACAAACACTTACAGTGAACCCACTGGCCATTCTCTCCTGGGTTCAGAAACCCCAGCTGAACACTCTTATGGGAAGTGGAGCAGACCCAGCCCTGTTCTCATGGAGGTGTACGCTCTGGCAGGCAAGGCAAACATCAGACACAAATACGTGATTATGAATTTGGACAAGGTACTACAGGTGCTCTCGGTTTATCTACAACAACAAGGAGAAGGGAGTGGACATCCGCAGTACAGGGAAGAAAGAGAGGCATCTGGGGAGCTGGAGCCACTGCGGAAAGGCCAGTGTAGCCGAGACCACACAGGAGTGAAAGGGCTGGCAGTCGAGGCTGGCAAAGCATCTGGGGCCAGATCAATTGAGGACAAGAGAAGAATCTTTTATTTTCCCTTATGAGCAGTGGGAAGCCACTAAAAGAGAGTGGCAGGAATAGATTCCTCTTCTAAAGGCTCCACCCTGGCCACAGTGTGAGGAAGACACTGAAACAGGGTAAGAGTGAGTGCGGCACACCGACAGGCTGTCCAAGCCAGAGATGGTAGCGGGGAGAGAGAGATGCGGGAGGATTTAAGATCACTATGGACTGAATGCTTGTGTCTCCCCAAATTCATATGTTAAATCCTAACGCCCAGTGTGATGGTGTTAGGAAGTGGGGCCTTTGGGAGGCGTTAGGTCTTGAGGGCTCTGCCTTCATGAGTGGGATTAGTGCCCTTATAAAAGAGGGCCCGGAGAGCTGCCTCACCCCTTCCACCATGTTTGGACACAGCTAGAAGCCATCTGTGACCCAGGAAGCAGGCCTTCGCCAGACACCAAATCTGCTGCTTCCTGGATCTTGAACTTCCCAGCCTCCAGATCTGTCAGAAATAAATTTCGGCTGTTTATGAGCCACCCAGTCTATGTATTCTGTTATAACCTCCCAAACTGACTAAGAGATGTTTAGATGAAAGGATATGGGGTAATGAGAGGAGTTATCAAAATGACACAAAGGTTTTCTGACTTAACTAACTGGGCGGTTGGGGGTGTCATACGCTGAGGTGAGGACACAGGAAGAAGAGCGGATGGGGGGTGACTGATGAGTATGCTCTGCGGGTGCTGAGAAGACAGTAGGATATAGGCATGTGGAAGACTTGCCTGCCACCATGCAGAGACCACCTGGGCGCAGGATTCTGACCTGGGTCCTTCTGGTCCCAAGGCCTGTCTCTTAATCTCCATGTTCAGTGGTCCCTGCCAGCAAGGAACAGCAAGTCCAGTGAAGGAGGTAGAATCTAATGAGTAGGGGTGGGAACAAGGTTGTCAAGGGTGTTGTCTAGTTACTATGGCCACATAGCAAAACACCCCAAAACTTATGGATGAAAGAAAAACAACCATTTTATTATGATCACTGATACTGTGGGACAGGAGTGCAGACAGGGCACAAGAACGGCTTGTCTCTGCCATGAGTCATCTGGGGCCTCGGTTGGAAAATTCAGCTGGGGATGATTCAACTGCTGAGGACTGGGATCATCTGGAAGTTTCTTCTTTTATATGTCTGATGATTGATGCTGGAGATCAGCTGGCATCTTAGCTGGAACTCTTACATGTGTCCTTGCCATGTGATCTCTCTGTGCGTGCTAGTTGGGCTTCCTCAGGGCATGGCTGCCAGATTCTAAAAATGAGCATCCCTAAAGAGCAAGGTAGAAGAAATGCAGAGATGTGTTATGGTCTGTCCTCAGAAGTCACAACATGTCACTTCTGCTGTAGTCACAAGCCCGCCCAGATTCAGAGGGATGGAACGCATACCCACTCTCCATGGGAGGAGTGTCAAAGGGCACAAGGGAAGAGGGGTCTTGTTGCAGTCAGCTCTGGAAAATCCAATCTTTCACCATTGAAAAGAGCAATTAGAGGCCGGGCACGGTGGCTCACGCCTGTAATCCTAGCACTCTGCGAGGCCGAGGCGGGCGGATTGCTCGAGGTTGGGAGTTTGAAACCATCCTGAGCGAGACCCCGTCTCTACTAAAAATAGAAAGAAATTAATTGACCAACTAAAAATATATATACAAAAAATTAGCCGGGCATGGTGGTGCATGCCTGTAGTCCCAGCTACTCAGGAGGCTGAGGCAGGAGGATCGCTTGAGCCCAGGAGTTTGAGGTTGCTGTGAGCTAGGCTGACGCCATGGCACTCACTCTAGCCAGGGCAACAAAAGTGAGACTCTGTCTCAAAAAAAGAAAAAAAAGAAAAGAGCAATTAGGGTTAGAACAATGAATGCTAAAGGGAACACTCTGGCCAGTTCCTTGGCAAGAAATCTCTCCCAGAAAAAATTCTTAACAAGCTAGAATAAGGTATCAAGGGAAGAGGAATACTTGCCATGCCACAGAGCAATCAAATCTTGTCTCTGACTGCCTCTCTTTTCTGCCCCTTCTTAACATACATACAGTCAAACACTGGGAAGGAGGCAGGGGTTGGGATCTATGGGGAAACTGAGTCACAGAAGATAGTGCCTGGCACTGGGTCCATAGAAGTAAAGAGCACATGGCTGAGAGGCTCTGGATCTGATCTTATGTGTGAGTGGTCGCTGCTCAGAAGGGAAACAGGAGGCACGTTCCTGGTGTGGACATTTCTTCAGCCTCTCAACTGCCTTCTCCCCAGAGATGGCCCCAGACTAGGGACAGAAGAGGCACCCCTCCTTCTCCCAGCTGTTTCTGCAGGTGTCACTCACCCGAAGGCCTCAGCCCCCATAGACCTCTTCCTTCCTCTAAAACAGAAACAACCCTCCTCTGCCTCCCAAGATCTTGCTCCTTGCTCACCCAAAGCCACTTGCCCTGCAAGCACACTGGGCACAGCCAGGGGCCCATCAGACATGGCTTCAGGCTCATTTTTACCACTGACACCTCTGGAGTAGCTAGAACAAGGCCCTACCCTGGTGAGGCCCCGGGCCCAGGCGCCCTCATCCTGACTCCAGCTGCAGGCTGATCTGAGCCCAGGTTTTGGACAATCACAGAAGGCTGAATACACCTTCCTCAATGGCATACCATGTCCCCAGGTTCCCGGATGGGGCCACCAGCACCCTGACGTGGGGTGAGGGGCCCGGAGGGTAGAGCCTGGGCACTAAGGGAGCCTGCCGGGGCCTCTTCAAGCATCTCGGGACCTTTATATCAGTAACTTCTTAGCCCATGTCTGGTTCCTATTTCACAATTTAGAAACAGGAACTGCCATAATCCCACCACCCTCTCCTCCAATCATGCTCACTTCCTCTTATATTAAATATTGTGGGACCCAACACTCAACAGAGCAGAGTCTGGGGCCTCCCTAGGACAGACATCTGGAGAGAGCGGGCTCCAGGGCCCAGCACGATGCCCACCCCTGCCTCTCAGCCCCGCCTGCCTCCGCCGTCCCTGCTGCTGCCCCTGCTGCTGGGACTCACAGGTGAGCACCTCCGCCCTGGGTACCACAGTGCAGGGATGCTCTCCGAGTTTGGCAGCGGTACCATTGCCCCATTGCCAGTGGGACAGTTGGATCTCTCTGCCAGGGCCTCTTTGTTTTTTTTTTTTTTTTTTTTGGCTTCCTCTTCCTCTTTAAGACATTTCCCTAATTATTTTTTTTATAACAAGAATCTCATAAATAAATCCCCCCAGAATTCTTATCCCGGGGAGGGATCCTTTCCTATCCCACCCAGGCGTTTCTCCGAGACAGGGGTTCCCATTTCTCTACTCTGCCCACACCCCTGACATCCTGTGGAGGCTCCTCGACCCCCTCAGGCTTGGCCTGCAGGACCTGGTGCCTCCCTGAGGGAAGGAGTGGACAGGAGGTGCAGCGTCTGACTCTTCAGTCCTGCTTAGGTCACAGCACCCAGCAGGGAGTCAGGGCTGTCTTCATTACGATGGAGATAGAGAGATGCAGAGATGGATGGATAGGCAGGCAGATAGATAGATAGATGATAGATAACATTACACACAATGTAGAACCAGTAGGGAAAAATAATTGGTAAACAGTGCTTTTTAGATTAAGTCTCCCAGAATCCTAGCATCCTAGGATTACGTTGTTGATGTGGATGCTTCTCCTGCCTGTCCACTCCATTCTCTCCAAAGATGACCTGGGCAGTCGGGAGAGGCACCCCTCCTCCTCCTAATGGTAGTAACATCTCAATTGAGAGGCTGCTTGGTAAATTGGCTACAAAGCACAAGTATTTTTTAAAACCAACCTGCCAAGCTTCAAATCCAAATCTCATCATTTGTAGACTGACAAATCACTACACTTCTCTGTTTTCCAATTCTCTTATCTGTGAAATGGAGATAATAGGACCTTTCTAATAAGGTTGTGGTGAAAATCAAGCAAGTATGTTAACATGGTTAAGTGTTTAGCATCATGTGTGGCACACGGAAGCATCTATGTCAGCTCTGGCTATTACATCCTTTTAGGGTTTAGTATGTGTAAATATGAGCACATAAAAATGGTCCTGCTGAATCGACCATTACGGCACCCACTGTGTGTCCTTGGAAGTCTGGGTCTTCATTAAAGCTCGTAGCAGTCATAGGAAACAGGAATGATCTATCACGCTTGGCAGAAGTGGAAACCGAAAGCACAGGCAGGGAGTGGTCCTCCCTGAAGCCCCAGGCCTGTCAGGGCTGGAGCTCAGCCTACTGGACTCCAGGTCAACAGGGGAAAGCTCATTGTGCAGAAGTCCTTCTCTGCACCAGGCACGGTTCTGAATGTTTCTCAAAGATTCTAAGGTTTTTGTCTCACAGCAAAACTGCAAGAGAACTCTTACTTTCCTTACCATATATACTGTGTAGATAAGGAAACAGAGGTTCAGAGATGTTAAGTAATAACTATCAGTGTCTTAGCCCATTTTCTGATGCTTATAACAGAATACCTGAAACTGGGTAACCTACAAAGAAAAGGAATTTATTTCTTCCAGTTATGAGGACTAAGATGTCCAAGGCTGAGGGACTGCATCTGCTGAGAGCCTTGTTGCTGGTGGGGACTCTTTGCAGAGTGTCGAGATAGCACACGGCATCATCCTGGGGCCAGGGGTGGAGCATGCTCACGTGCTAGCTCAGGTCTCTCTTCCTCTTCTTATAAACCCACCAAGTTCTTCTCCTGTGACAACCCATAAATCTTTTAATCTTGCAGTCCCCAACCCCCAAGCCGTGGACTGGTACTGGTCCATGGCCTGTTAGGAAGTTGGCCACACAGCAAGAGTTGAGCTGCAGTGAGTGAGCAAGTGAGGCTTCATCTGCATTTATAGCAGCTCCCCAACACGCCCATGGCTGCCTGAGCTCTGCCTCCTGTCAGATCTTGCCCTAACCCCAGCCCACTCCCCCCATCCTCCACCCCAGGAAAATTGTCTTCCAGGAAACTGGTCCCTGGTGCCAAAAAGGTTGGGAGCCTCTGCTTTAGTCCATTAATTCATGGATGGATTAATCCATTTATGACAGCAGAGCCTTCATAACTCAATCATCTCGTAAAGACCCTAACTCTCAATACTGCCACATTGGGGATTCAATTTTAACATGCATTTTGGAGGGGACAAATATTCAAACCATGGCAATCAAGTAAGCAATCAAGGAGGCAGTGCAACCCAAGTCAAAGGAATTCCACTCACCCCTGCTTTGATCACCACGATGCTTCCATATATATAGAAATTTTAATAAAAATAGAATTAAACTAAATATGGAGATTTATTTAGTCTTAATTGGGGGCCTTCTTCCACGTAGCTACATATGTGCCTACGTCATCATCACCACGTCCCCAATATATACTCCTACATTATCATTTTAATAGCTACATAGCTTATTTTGTGGTTATACCATCATTTATCTAACTAACTCCCTGTTCTTGGATGTGGGTCTCACATCAACCGTTTCCATAGTGTGAATACCATGATTACCATTCCTTTACCAAATGTGTTCATCCTTGTCTGATCATTTCTTTTGAATAAGTCCCTAGAAGAGGATTACTGAGTTAAAGGGTGTGAGTGCATTTCAAACACTTTTGAAATGCACTGTTCTAATAAAATAGGAGTGTCTCAATGTTAGTAATACATTACCCTAACACATACAACATAGGAATAGCAGCAATGGACAAGGAGATTTGGGACATTGGTGACCAAAACATATTTGGTTAAAGACTTTCCCTTCCACCTGCTAAAAACGTGGGCTTATGGATTGTACACATAGGGTCATCACTATAGTGCCATATTGCCATCTAGCAAGGTTGTGTCAATTTATACTCCCATCAGCAGTATGTGGGTGCCTGCTTTGCCACACCCTTGGCAACACTGAAAATTGATAAGCTTTTTCCTTTTTGCAGAGCTAATTTTCTAGAAATTGTCTACTCTTAGATTACAGAAGAAAAAGTGTTTTATTTCATTTTATTTTTATTATATTACAGACTTCTTGTCAAAATAATCCAAACAGGGAAGAAATGTGCAAGTAAACAACAAAAGTCCCCATACCTTTGGCTCCCTGGAAACAGCCACTTTTTAAGAGTTTTATTTGCTTTCTTCCAGATAGCTGGCTGCCCCAGACATAAAATGCCACCTTGATGATATAGGGAATGTGCATATTTTCTTGGGTCCAATTCTAGGCTCCCTCTTCTGTCTCATTGACTTCCCTGCCTGCCTCGGGGCCAACCTACCTCTATTACTACACCCTAAAAATGTGCCCTCACATTGCATGTGCTGAAACCTGAGTACATTTTGTTTTAACTTTTCCAGCTACTCTGTCACAGACTTTAGCATTTTCCTTCTGGTTTAAATATGCATTTCACTGATTTACTGGGGGTTTTGAACATCTCTTCTAGATGTGTTTCTTCTCTCATGACTTCCCTATGTGAGGCCTTTGCAAGGGGCACCTGTCTTATATCTATGTCCCTATTGGCACCCAGTCCAGCAATTTGCCCATCCTAGGGGCTAATACATGACATGGAAAGAAAGAATTAATGGGACTTCAGCTGCAATCTGGCCCAGGCAACTGGATGCCAACCTCAGCCCCAGCTGGGCCAGGGCAGGACTTGGGGCTGACTTGTGTGTCCCTGCAGGGGCGGCAGGAGAGGAGGAGCTGCAGGTGCTCCAACCTGACAAGTCGGTGTCGGTCGCGGCCGGGGAGTCGGCCACTCTGCGCTGCACCGTGACCAGCCTGGTCCCCGTGGGGCCCACCGAGTGGTTCAGGGGGACTGGGCCAGGCCGAGAATTAGTCTACAGACAAAAAGACCCCCTGTCCTCCCGGGTAACACCTCTTGGAGACGGCACGAAGAGGAACAACACGGACTTCTCCATCCGCATCAGCAACATCACCCCAGCGGATGTCGGCACCTACTACTGCGTGAAGTTCCAGAGAGCATCTCCTCACAACAGGGAGCTGAAGTCTGGCCCAGGCACCCAGTTATTTGTGTATGGTAAGTCTAGGTCCCTAAAAATCCAGCCCATTGTTCTAAGACAAATTATAGCCCCCGGGAACTCAGTCCAAGGGTCTCCCTTTGTTAGCTGTTGTGCCAAGATTGAAGAGAGTAGATGCCGATATGAAAGGTCACAGTGAAGGAACAGAGTGACATATAACCCCAGGGCCGTCTGTCGGCAGACCCGGAACCCTTTGGAATCTCACAGCTTCCAAAGGCCCAACAAAGTACAGCGGGTACAGGTAGACTCCAGGGCCAGATGGGTCAACTTTGAGCTCTGCCTTTTGCATGCTGTGTGACTTCACAAGTATCTTAAATTCTCTGTGCCTCGACTTCCTCATGTGTTAGGGAAGATAGGGATACGAATAGTATCCACCTCATAGATTTGTTGTGAGGATTATAAATGTGAATGAATTTATCAACATAAAACACTTGGAAGAGTATCTGCTACAGGATGATTATTATATTACTATGCATCATCAGTATTTAGGATCGTACAACGAATTAAACTTAAAAACACAACCTTAGAATCATGAACCCATAGATTTTCATATGATATGAATGATAGATTTATTGAGGCAGAAAATTTTAGGGATCACATTTTTTTATGTAGAATACGTAATCCCTATATTTCTTAAATTTTATCCTTCATTTCTATAAGTCCTGTATTTTTCTTGAGTTTGGTCCTGGTTGATACAATCATGGCTGAAGACAAAGCCTACAAGACTCTAAACATCATCCATTAAAGGAAAACCTGGGAAGCAGAGAAGTTAGTTCAGGCCTATTTGTATTGATGAATTAATGATTATGATTTTTCTTTTGTAAAAAATGAATAGGATAGCAGAACCACAGAACCATAGAAATATATATCAACAGAGTTTGGGGGACTTTAAAATTTTAGCACCTTTGAGCCCTGGAAAGACAAAGAAGATGATAGTCTTTGGGGACAAACAGAATGTTGTATAGTTTTCAAGAATTAAAAATAAAAAACAAGTTGTACAGGAAACATTGTGAATGAGATCAGCGTGAGATGTCTAAGAGCAACATTGGGCCCTAGAAGACAAGGAATAGTGGTTTCAAAATTCTTTGGGAAAATTATTTTCAACCTAAAATTTTATACCCAGCTAATCTATAGAGTTTGCAAGATCACCAAAAACGGCCTTTCACATCTCTTTATGTTTTACCAAAATAGGGGTTGAACAAAGAAAAAGTAAGAATGAGAGTTTGATGACACACTCTTCTGGGGACGACAGGTACATCATATTTTACTGGTAGAAATGCAAAATTATGTAACTCATAAGGAGATGAATTTGGCAATATCTAGCAAAATTATTTGTATGTATTACATAACTACATATTACCCTGTGATCCAACAGTTCCACTTCTAGAAATTTATTCCAAAGATCTACTAACATAAGTGCAAGATGACTTATGCCTCGGCTCTTCATTACAACACTATTTGTAAGAGCAAAAGATGAGCTGCTGGATTATGGCACAGTCACACAATTGGGTACTACAGAACTTGCAAAGGGCATGAGGAAGAAGACCTCAGTACTCCACCTCACAGGGACCCAAGGGATATTATCAGACAGGAAAAGCAATATGTAGAACAATGAGTGAAGGAGAACACTACAATAGTAAACTAAAATTTTTCAAATTTTTAAAATTTACCTTAAGGGAGGGAGGGAACAGAGCTGAAAGGACAGGGACGAAAGCTACACTTCTCTGAATGTACCCCAACTTAAGTTTTGACTTTGCAAACATATGAATGTTTTAAATAATTAATAAACATAATCCAAAATAAATCTAAATTATTAAATCTAAAATGAAACTATGAATAATCTAACGACATATTGATGGTTTCTCTAGACAAAGATCAATTATTTTAAGGGACTGTAAAGCACAAAGGTTGAGCTTGAGTTCACTGAGAAGCCAGCACTGAGACAAGGATTTGAAGGCAAGTAATTCCCACTAGTGAAGTCAGACAGTCAATAAGGGGGAGTTGCCATGCCCACTACCATGTGGGTGACTGGAGTTCAATCTAGCTGGGAAGCTATGGAAATGCTACAGGATTTGGGAAATTCATCAGGGTCAATGACCTGGTTTATTTAACAAATAAATGGCAAAGGAAACAGGAAGGAAGGGGAATTCCTTTAGATTAAAAGAGGTTTAAGAGACGTAACAGAATGTGATACATGGATCTTGTTTGGATCCTGATTCAAACAAACCAGCTGCAACATTGTATTTATGAGACAAGAAAGAAAATTTAAATGCTGACAAATATTAAATGATATTAAGGAATTATTATTGAATTTCAAGTATAATAGTGGTATTTTGATCATTTAAAAAAGAATTATTAACTGTTAGATATACATGCTGAAGTAGTTACGCATGAAATAATATCATGTCTGGTGTTCGCTTTAAAATAAATCCGTGGATGGCTTATTTCATTTAGCATAATGTCTACTAGGCTCATCTATGTTGCAACAAATGGCAGGATCTCCTGTTTTAAGACCCAGTAACATCCCATCGTGTGTTTGTGTATGTACAGACATTTATGTTGCTTCCATATCTTGGCTATTGTGGATACTGCTGCAATGAACATTGGGGTGCAGATATCTGTATGAGATGGTGATTTCATATACTTTAGGTATATACCTAGAAAAGGAATTGCTGGGTCATATGGTAGTTCTATTTTTAATTTCTCTTCACTTATATTTGGAATGTAAAAAAACAAAATAAAAACAAAAAACTCAAATCCATAGAAACAGAGTAGAACGATAGCTACTGGGGGTGGCAGTGTGGAGGACATGGGAAGATGGAGGTCAAGGGTACAAAATTTCCATTATGTTGGGTGAATAAGTCTAGAGCATGAGGACTATAGTTAATAATACCATATTAAATACCGGAAATTTGCTAAGAGAGTAGATTTTAGGTACTTTTACTATGCACAAAAAATAATTATGTGAGATAATGGATATATTAATTTGCTTTATTGCTATAATGATGTCATTAAGTGTATATATATAAATATATCAAAACATCATGTTGTACACCTAAATATATAAACATACATAACCCAGTGGATGGTGGGAGAAGTATAAATGAAGTCAGATCAGCCATTTGTTGATAATTGTTAAAGTCTCACGATGAATACATCGTGAGACATCTCTCTATTTATATGAGACATGTCTCTATTTATATTTATATTTATACAAATTTATTATAATAAAAAGTTTATTTAGTCCAAGCCTATATACTTCCCTGAAAAATCTTTGTACCCTACATTAAAGTCTAATGCAGTACTTAGGAGTTTCAAACATAGTGTAAGGAAATCTGGCAGAAAGTTTGGAGATGAACTTATGACAATAAATTCACAGAAAACAAAGCAAGTGAAAATAATGAGACCATTAAAAACTCCTGAGAAAACAAAAGGCTGTACAAGAAAGGAAATATAACCATGCCATATCACAAAGCCCAATTGCGAACAATGCCCATTTAGCCATAACAATATAAATGCTGAATACTGATAGAACAAAGCATTACAATGTGTCTATAAGAGGAGGATGCGAGGAGGGGAAATGTGGGTGGCAGGTGGAGGGAGACATAAGACAGCTAAACCATCGTCTTCTGTAGTGGTAGCTATATCCATAACACATAAAACTGAAAAATTGAGAATAACAGTATAAACGTGTTATTTAGAAACACACAGACAGAAATGCCCAAAGAATCAGCTAAAGCAGTTAAAAGTGGTTGGTCTGTAGTTTTTGCAAGGAGAGGAAACCACTGTTTTTCATGATATGCCTTATGCGACTTTTAAAACCGTGTACCTTGGGAAGAAGGGACAGAGGGAGGGCGAGGGAGGAGAGAACAAGGGAATGACACTGTCACATCTGCGTTTTAGCAAGGTCCTGTGCTCTGGTTCCCAAGTGTGGGTTGAAAGGGTTGAGAAGTCAGTGAGGCCAGTTGATTGGCTGTTACGACAAGAAGAGTGATGATAAAATTTACACAGAGGAGAGAACTGGAGAGGAGCGATTGGGGTGGGAAGTGGAGCAGGGTGAGCCGTGAGGGTGAGTGTTGTGCCAGAGAGTAACTCACCGTCTTCTTTTCTCTTCTCTCTCCTTGTCTCTCCACCCCTGCCCTGATGGAAGCTAAGCCCTCTCCTCCGGAGGTTTCTGGCCCCTCCAGCAGGGCCAGCCCAGGCCAGCTACTGAACCTCACCTGCACGTCAACTGGCTTCTTCCCCAAAAACATACATGTGAAATGGTTTGAAAATGGTGTGGAGCTTCCAGCCTTTCAGACCCTCGTCTTCCTGCCTGGAGATGCTTCCTCCTACACTGTCGTCAGCATTGCCCTGGTGACCCTGGCTGTGTCCTCCATCCACTCCCAGGTCACCTGCCAAGTGGCTCACAGTACACTGCCGAGCCCCCTCAGAGAGCATGTGAACATCTCCCAGTTCCTCCAAGGTAAGCCCCCCTGCATGCGTGTGCATGCACACAAAACACACACACACACACAGCGGGGTGAGTATGAGGTTCCCTGTTTTATACAGCCATCCCCTTTCTGCATAAGGCCATGATTGGGTCCTTCTCTTTCAGAGCTCCCTTCCTTCCCGTGTCTGTGAAAGGAGGAAGTTCATTCATTCATTCGTTCATTCAGGGGGTGTTTGGGGGCATCTGCCGCGTGCTGGCATGTTACAGGTGCTGGGGATTCTATGGTAAACAGAACCGGCCTGGTTCTGCCTCGCTGAGTTCACAGTCCTGGGAACCCCGTCAACCAAGACAAAAGCAACTCTATGCCTGCGACTTGTAACATTTGCTATGAGGGGAAAGAACAGACTGAGATAGATGAAAACAAGAGAAATCTAGTTTACTCAGCAAGCACCGTTTTGAAGAAGTGATGTTTGAGTCAAGGCATGAAAAGAAGCCAGCCAGGCAAGGAGTAGAGTGCTACAGGCAGAGGAAACAGAGTGTGCAAAGGCCCTGGGGTTGGAGGGTTGTGGGGAGAGAGGCATGTCCGGGGAGCAGAGAGGCCAGTGCGGCTGGCCAGTGAGAAGATGGGTGGACAGAAAAGGCAGAGGCTGGAACAAGAGGGGTGGGGACCAGATCACACAGGGTTTCTAGGCCACAGCAAGGAAGCTTCTCCCACTTGGACTCTCCATGTGGACTCCTAATTCCATTGTCCAAACCACTAAGCCACTATTGCTTTGCCATCAGCCACCACCTTTGGCATATGCTTCTTAAACCCACCCTGGCATCATGGGAGAAAGCAATACAGGCCACACACACACCCTTTCTGGCTCTGACTTCATGAAGACAAAGTCCATTATTCATTTCCCCAGAGAAAGCCCAGGCTGCTGTGTTTAATCAAACTTTGCAGAAATATGGAAGGAAAGGCAAAGGAAATGACCCTCATTGTTCCAGAAGTCCATCTGCCCTGGCCTTCACAGGGCCCTCCATCAACCCAGCCACCCAACCCACCACCAAATTTCCCTTTCAAATCTCTTCCAAACTCATACATTTTTTTTCCACTGCCACTACTCAAGTGAATACCCAAGTTCAAGCCAACACCACTTCTCACCTGGACAATTGCAGCAGCCTCCTAATTGATCTTTCATTTCCACCATTGCCCTCTCTGGTCTAACCCCCAACCTCCCAGCAGCTAAGAGGATTTTATAAAGGAACACAGATCATGTCCCTACTTTGCTTAACATCCTACAGTAGCTCACTACTGCTCTTGGGGGGAAAAATCCTTACTGAGATGTTCAACAACAATCTTCAAGCATTTTTAAGCATATATCCCTAAAATAATTGTGAAGTAGTTTGTAGTCCATCGTATATTTTAATGTTAACAACTAAATTCTTCATCATGATCTTAAATAGTCGGACAGGATGTAATTTCTGGAGTATTACAAATGTTACATCACTCTGAAACTATTCAATGAAAAAATGACATCATAGTGACTTGATTTTCACCATCATCCATTTAAACATATATAAAGTTCTTCTTTAATACTCAAAAATGCAATATTATTACTTTTACTTCCTAAATTTGTATTTCCATTCTAATTCCCATGGAGAACTTTATCCCAAGATAGCACATTTTATATCAGAAAGTCTTTAATTGATTATATCATACATACACATATCACAAAACTGTGAGAACACAGAGAACTCCAACAAAAATATACAAATTGAAATTTTAAAAAAAATTTATGACCATAAATGTTCTCAGTGTCAAAAAAAATTCTTTTGGACTGAATTGCACACCATTATATCAAAATGATCTAAATGTATGACAAATTTTGATAACTAATTTTTAACATAGGCATTAAAATGTTGTTGCAATGCAGCTCAGCAAGGGAGTTGGTGATAGTTTGATTAAAGCAGGTTCTCTGGCCATGAGTATTTGAACTGCTTTTTCATTTTGTGCCCCAGAGTCTTTACATTAGGGACAACGCATAGCTAAGCTAGATTCAGGATGTATGGGAGGAAAGTCGTTCTGCGAAATGAGAGAGGAAAATTGAGAAATAGGAGGTAGGAGAGAGAGATGCTCATTCTCAGGCAGATCAATTTAAGAAAAGAGTAGGACGAAGGTTCAGGACCTGGGAACTAATTGTATGAAAATTATCCATGTCTGTATTCCCTAGAAGGTCTTTAAGTGCCCCCAGGGCACCAGTAAGTGTAGCCAGTCCCTTCAGATTGGCTACGAATTCAGCTTCACTCATCGGAATCTCTCTCTCATTCACTTTGGTCTTCTTTTAAAGTCCTTGGAACTTCAGGGCCTCTGCCCAGGCCCATCCCTCTGCCGAGGTGCCCTTCCCCACTCCCACCCTCTCCCGGCACCCCCTTCCTCTTCCTCTTAGCCTCCCCCAACACCTTTGCCTAATGTTTCAGTTACCAGGGCCATGCAACAAATTATCCCCAATCTTATTTCAATATTCCAAATTTATTCCAAATCCCCAAAACTATTATGCTCACAAATTCTGCGGGTCAGGAATTCTGAGGGGGCTGAGCAGGGGTGGCTTGTCTCTGCTTCCTGACGGCTGGCCTCCCCTGCAGGGTGCAGAGGCTGGAATTCCCCGGGGCCTCCTTCACCAACACGCCTGGCCCTGGGCACTGGCTGTTGGCTTGGGGCCTCGGTTCTTGGTAACATGGGCCTCTGCTCACTGTCTTTCCATGTGGGCTTCCCCGTAGCTTGGTGGCTGTGTTCCTAGGCTGTGCCCCAAGAAAGACATAACTAGGAGGAGGTGACAGTGACACCAACTTTAGTGACCGAGCCTTGAAAGTCACTCAGTGTCAACTCTGCTACATTCTGTTCACCAAGGCAGTGACAAAGTCCCACGCAGATTCCAGGGGAGCAGAAATAGACTCCCCCTCCGATGGGGAGTGGCAAGGCTCCGGAAGTGTATGCGGGGTGTGCTGTCGCCATTTTTTTCGTCTGCCATATACAGTTAACTCCTGTTCATCTTTCATGTTTCCACTCAAAGGTCACTCCCTGTGGAAACTCTTCCCTAACCTGCCCTCCTTCGCCCAGACCAGGGCGGCTGCCCCTGCTGTGGGCTCTCGGAACCCCTGTGGGGGTCATGTGGCTGCCTTGTTTCCTCCCTGTCCCCCCCACCAGAGTGTCCACTGCTGTACCCCAGGAACCCGGCACACAGCCGGGAAAGGTGTGGGTGCTCTTCGAGCATGCTTTGCCGAAGGAGGGAAATAGCAAACGAAAGGCTATTGTTTCAGTTGTGCCCACAGTGAGTATCTCAGCACACCCAGTCCTGGGACTCCAGGCAGCCATCCTCACCTGCCATGTCCAAAGCTTTTACCCCAAAGACATACAAATCACCTGGCTGAAGAGGAACAGAAGCTTCAAGACCATTGAGGTCCCTGTCCCTACCGAGAACACAGATGGCACATTCAACCAAGACAGTCATATCCTGGTCAACACTTCAGAGTGGGAGGATGAAAGGCCGTCCGCCTGCCAAGTGTGGCAGGATGACCGGGCTCTGGTCCAGGCCAGCAGACAGCTGAGCAAGTTCGGAGAAGAGCAAGAGAGTTTGGGTGAGTAGGAGTGGAATAACCAAGCAGTTAAAGGCTCAGCCAGGTTCAAATGCTGGCTTGGCTGTGCTCGCCATGGGTGACCCTGTGACAGTCACTTCACCTTTCTGAAACTCAGATTCTTCATCTATAATATGCGACAGCAATTATAGCAACCTCCCCAGAGCGTTACGCCTTCAGTACCAAATGGCAGGAAACGCTGCTCTCATCACATGGCTGGACCCTGACCACCCACCCAGTTTGCCAGAGACTTCTGGGAGTAACTAAGTTAATATGAAACATCTTTCTCCAATTCCCGCACATCCAAAAGCCGTTCAGGCGAGATCGGGCGCATTCAGGGTGGTAAGGCCAGCCATAGACCCAAAAGCCATTCAGGTTTAACAATTGCTAAGCACCTTTGCTTGGGTGCCAATGTTAAACCATTCAGGTTTCACAATTGCTGAGCACGTACTTTGCTTGGGTGCTCTCATTTCATAGAAAAACATTCTGAAGTATGAATTATAATCCTCATTTTAAAGATAAGAAAACTGAGGCTCAAAGAGGTGGAGTGATCCTCCCCAAGGCCAAGGTGTAGTCCTGGTACCTGAGTCAGAGTAGGACTGAGCCTGCCCCGGGGGTGGAGTGATGGAAGCAGGAATGGGGCTCATCCTGATGTCTTTCTGTCACCAGGTGCCACAGTGTCCAGCTACCTCCTCCTCCTCGCCTGGAAGTTGTTTCCTCTGGCTGCACTTTCTGCCATCTATGTCTTCAGGATGTGCCTCCCTTCCAGGTAAGGGGGGACCCTGGATGGAGGCTGGTTCCCAGGGGTGGGTCTCCAGTCGACAGGGGCACTATGAGAAGAAAGCCAGCGACCCTCCCATTTCTCCTCTGCCTTGAGGAGTGTTGAATCCCAGAGGGTCCATTATAACTGCACCCCACTTCTTTCAACCTTTCTCTCTGTCTCTCACACGTCCAGCCTGGAGATGCTCAAAGATGCAGGTTCCACTGGTCGGGGTTGGGGAGGGGCATCTAGGGAGGAAGAGGAAGAGGGAGTGGCACGAAGACAACACCCTTGAGGTAGTCTCCAAGGAGAGGTGTGAGAGGAACAAGGGCTTTGCCTCAGTCCCCTGCTTCCTCTGCAGGTCACTGGCCTTGCAAAGGCAGCCCTCCTCAGTGACACAGGACCTTCAGTCCCTTCCTGTCTCATTCAGGAGGACTGGCCTAGGAGGGGAACCTACCATGATGCCGGCAGCTGCTGTCCCAGCTTCTCCTGCCTCCTCAGCCTTCTGACACCTGTCCAGAACTGGCTGTCCCTTCCGGTCCCCTACAGCCCCCAGAGGAGGAGAGAGCCTGGACCAGGAAGGGCAGTAGTGGGAGGCGGCTCTCACGCCCTAGCCAGGAGTGAAGTCTCTGTGGACAGTCTGACCTCCAAGTCCATGACCCTGAGCAAGAAACCGAGCAGAGGCAGGACAGACCCCCAGCCCAGAGGGAAACTCGCGCTACAATTCTGATGGCTTCTTCCTGGCTCCTCAAGGGAAGTCCATTGTGGGCACCCAAGCCCTGTCATGAAATTCCACGGCCCTACCATTAAAAGGGGCTTTAATGAAACACTTATGTCCAATAAACACACGAAGAGACACCCAACCTCATTAGGAACCAGGAAAAGCCACAGCAAAAGTCACACTGAGATGCCATGTTGTCCCTGTTCAGATAGCAAAAATAAAGAAGCAGTTTTGTCTTTCTTACATTGCTGGTGGGCACATAAATTGACATGGCTATTTTGGAGGGAAAATTGTGGTGTTAAATACTCACACACCCTATAACCTGGCATTTCCATTCTTGGGTTACACCTGAAAGAAACCCCTGCACTTGTGCACCAGGAGACATGTACAAATATATATGTGGTGACATTGTTTAAAACTAGCAAGACCTGAAAATGATCCAGATGCCCATCTACAGGATAATGGCAATACGTTTAGTACAGACACAGAATGGGACATTACACAGCCATTAAAATGAATGGACTACAGCTACACACAGTGATATGGATAAATCTTAGCAATAAAATATTGGCAGGGGAAGTGACCCCCCCAAATTTCATATGGCATGATATCCTTTTCACAAAGCTAAAAACCAGCTAACATCAAATAGTATTTAGGAATACATAGAAATATGATAAAGCTCATATTTTTAAAAAGAAACAATGAACAATGAACACGAGATTCACTGAACAATGAATAAGAGATTCAAAACAGCAGTGAGCTTGGATGTGGGGGAGGCAGAAGGATGAAAAATGTGGGTACATGCACGTAGATGGAACTTATTGTCAAAGAGTGTCGTGCATGGATCAATGATGGAGTATCATGAAGCAGCAACTATGATAGGTACAATCCTGTGTACTTAAGATTCAAATGAAGAGGCATTACCTGGAGACCCCTAGATCCCCTTTCTGTTGTGACATTCTGTGGTTCCATATAAGGAAGGAAAACATAGTCACTAGGTCCCACCGTGAGTCTGGTACTTCGTGTGCAGTAGTAGCCCGTTTCATCCTTACACCAAGCCTACAAGGTGGGCACCATGCCCCATGTGCAGGTGAGGCCTGTGAGGGATCCTGCCTGGTGTTACTCAGATAATAAGCAGTAGAACCAAGAAGCTCAGATTCAAACCCAGCTCTTGCTGGTGCTTTCCAAAAAGCCACCCTTCCCAGAGTTCTTGACCCATCCTCATTCTACTGCTCCCCAGCCCCAGGCCCACTGCTCTGCAGTAAAGCCCACTCTATGCCTCCAGGTAGGGAAGGGAAAGGAAGAGCATGTGCACTTGCTTGAGTTCAAAAAGTGGTCCTGGAGTAGATTTAGGGCTCATCTCAGGCACCAAGTGGCCCTGGTGAAGACCCGGGGAGATGGTGCAGCCCAGGGGAGGTTTTGGAAAAAGACTTTCTGTAAATGGCAAGTATGCCCGGGGGAGGTGGGTATCCTACTGTATTAGTTTCATCATGGCCTTGAACATTTGGACTCAAAGAAACAGGGATATTGCCCCTCAGACATGAGTCTCCTCTTCAGCATTTTCTACTCACAACAGAGCAGCTTCACTTTCCACGTCCCCATCCCCAGACTCCAGCATTGGGAGCCTTGAGGGCATCTGGGCCTCCTTCCATGATGAGAGCATCACGAAGCCAGAATCATGCTTCACCTCCCCCTCAGAGCAAGGCCAGGACTGGGGCGAGGCCAAGTGCCTAGGAGGCAAAATGTAAGATACTCGTTCTCGGGGCTGAGCAAAGGCAGCGTCGGCATAGGACCTCACCTCCTGACATTGTCCTGTGCCCTGGTGCCCTAAGCCTCCAAGTCCTATTACTCACCTGCATGGTTGCCCAGACCTCCTGGGGGCTTACCTGGATCACGCCAACACCCTCCACACAGGTGGAGTTCTGGAGCCTCCAATCCATCCCTTACATCAGAACAGTCTGTTTAGAATAACTTAGCCAAAAACTTTAGATAGTTCCTCATTCCCCAAATCGTGCCTAAAGAAGGCCATAGATGATGCCCCAGGTGTCTCACGTCTTGAAATCAGAGGGAAAATGAGGCAGCTGGGAGAGTCCCAGCTTGGACATAAAGATCCCTTCTCCCTGCGTCCTAGGCAAGCCCAGCCCAGAGTTTCCAGACAATTACTTGCTCGTTGCAAAGAAGGCTATGCCTTCACTGATTCCACCAACGTGACTGAGGGCACGCAGTATTTCAAACACCGTGTAGACACTGAGCAAACATTGGTGAACACTGGTGAGGGTAACCCCTGCCTTGGCGGAGTTTACAGTCTGATGAGGACTGAGAGAAAAGGCAGAAAGGGGAGAGGGAGGAAGGGGGAAAGGAAGAAAGAATTAAAAATGTGATGAGTGCTCTGAAGAAAATAAAAGGGTACACAAAATAATGGGGATTGCAAAGACAGAGCTCTCCACAAAAGTCAGGAATTAAGTGGCGGCTAGCTAGAGAGAATGGTAGAGAAAGCCTTTCTGAAAAGGGAACCTTTGAGCTGTTATCTGAAAGTCGCAAGAACCTGGGAAATCCCTTCTTGTTAGAGGGAACCTCTTATGCCAGGCCCTAAGGTACAAAGGAACTTGGAATGTTCAAGGAAGACAAAGTGGCCGACCGGCCGTGGGACGCTCCTGCAGAGGTGGGTGGGAGCCAGGGTACACAGGGGTGCTGGCCCCGGGGAAGATTCATCCGCAGGGCAGATGACAAGATCTGATTTACATTCTTGGAAATCGCTGTGACTGGGGTGGGGTAAAGCAAGTGATCGGAAAATTCAGATGTGAGGTTACTGCTGTAAACCAAGAGGCAATGGGGGGGCCTGAGCTAAGCAGTGTCGGCAGAGATGGAGAGAAATCGTTCAACTGGAGTTGAGCCTAAAAATGGAAATGGCGAGACTTACTTGGGGACCAAATGTGAAAGGCAACAGAGAGGGAGGGTTTGGGGATGATTTTGTGACAGGGTTGAGCAATGGATGAGATGAGGAAGACAGGTGGAGGCATAGATTTGGTGGTGGGAATTAACAGTTCCATTTTGAACATGTTAAATATAATGTTTGTTCGTCATCCCAGTGGAGCTGTTGAGTAGGCACACGGACAGATGCATCTGGAGTTCAGGAGAGGGGTCAGAGCTGGAGAGATATTTCTGGAGGCATTGGGTCTGTTGCCAGGGCAGCCAATCAGCAGAGCTAAAATATCCAGATTTTCCTTTTCTATCCTTCTGGCCTCCCAGAAGCCCTTCAGTAGGATGCAGTCTCCAGGCTCTGGTGCAAAACAGGTACTGACATAGGCATGGATTGGAAGGGAGGGCAGAAAGGTGGCATGCTTTCACTTGTCAGGACGGCATGATTGTAGATGTATTTTTCCCTGTCATTTTCTTATCTACTGAGGGTTGTTGGCACGTTTCTTCAAATGATCACTTTTAAAACAATTAGATATGGTCTGAATTAATGGCACAAAAGGATCTGATATCTACAAGGGCTGTTTCCCTTGTTCCCTGCCACCTTGGTATAT